TGATTTATAATTAATATGATTTCAGCCAGGTTCGGTGGCTCAGCCTGTAATCCCGCGCCTTTGGGAGGCTGAGGTGAGTGGATTGCCTGAGCCTGCGGGTTCAAGACCCGCCTGGGTCACTTGGCAAGACCTCATCTCTACAATAAAGTCAAAAAATTAGCTGGGCATAGTAGCATGCGCCTGTAGTTCCAGCTACTTGGAAGGCTGAGGCGGAAGGATCGCCGGAGCCCAGAAGGTCGAGGCTGAGGTGGCTGGGAGTGGTCACTGCACTCCAGTCTGGGCAACAGAGTGAGACTACAACTCAAAAAAAAAAAAAAAATTAATAAGATTTCAAAAAACTAGACTCCACTGCTGAGAACTTGTTATCCATCAGTAGTAAGAGAACTTAACTGAATCAGACGTCAAGTTTCACAATGAGTTGTATCTGTGGGAGACTTAGCATATCACTGCTTAACTGAGTAGTTCTTAGCCCTGTCTGCTCACTGTCATCAACTACTGCTGATCAGTTTTAAAGCTGAAGCCTGGGATCAGACCCCAAAGATTCTGATTTAATTGGACTGAAGTGGAATCTGAGCATCAGAAGTTTTAAATGCCACCCAGAGAATTCCAATATACAGCCAGACTGAAAACCACATGTATTTTACCAGCATGATATACTAAGTGGAAAATATAGCTTTTACCTGATTACTCTGTCTCAGTGTTATGTTAGCAAGGTATTTAATGAGACTCCTAAATAGTTACCAAAGACAACCAGATTACAAAAGGCTTAAGGTAGGGACATGGAGCCGTTAGCCACTGAATCACTTCATAATCAATCTAGGAAAAAGGTCAAGCACAGTGCTTCATGGGATTCCCTATGTGGGCTTAGGGTCTTCTACCCTGAGTCCTCACTGCCTAAATTAGTATCAAAACTTTCCAAGCAATTAAATCCCCAATAGGTTAAGAATTAATAAGAAAAAAACATATGTAATAGGAGGAAAATGTGAAAGGAACATGAATAGACTATTTACCAAAAAGAATACAAATGGCCAAACTTAATTTTTCAACTTCACTAGTGATCAAAGAAACACAAATTATCACTAAAATGTAATCTTTCCATCAAATCAGTCAGGTTTTTAAAAAGTAAACACTCAATAGCAAGAATATAATACATGAACACTCAAACTCTGGATGGAATAAACGTAATATATTTTTTAAAAGCAGTATGGCAGTATGTGGTCAAGAGTCCTAAGTATTTATAACCTCAACTTCTAATGGCAAAAACTAAAAACAGTCTAAGGACCAACATCAGGGAAATTTTTTAAATAATTAGCTAAAGTAATCAAAATCCATACATTCTGGAAAGAGTAGTGTTTTGGTTAAATGTTCAAAATGCAAAATTAAGAGAGAAAGGAAGATGTAGATAATACTCAGTATGACAAATTTTGTTATATACATACTTAAATATTAATGAAAGCAGAATTATGGGTGATTTTAAACTTCTACTTCATTTTTTTATTTTCAAAAATGTCTATAAAAGATGTACCACTTAAGATTTTTTTACTTTCCAGCAAAAGTTAACTGATCAAGTATAATAATTTCTACCAGAGGGGGGAAAAACACTATGAGATGAGATGACACCTTGTCATACAATGCAGTTCAGTACATAAGTTATGTATGGTGAGAAATGGGTGCTGAGATCCTGGCTTGAAGTGGGCTAAGGTGGTCTGGCCTGGTCACACAGACTGAGAATCCAGGTGATCTTAGACAGGAGTCCTCAACAGCTTCTCTGATATTCTTCAAAAGAGACAATCAGATTTTCAAAGGCAAACCAGCCAAGACAACTACCATGATGAATATTATTTTTAGAACCTCAGGCTAAACAGGCATTTATATGATGGACCACTAACCCACAGAAAAGCAGGTTATTACAGCCAAGACAAGATATAGCTGTCCCGTAAAGAGGACACTATGCTAAACATGTATGAAAAGCAACAGTTACTGAAAAACCTTTCCCCACTATCCATTGTACACTGAGGCATATGTTAGTCTGTTCACATTCTTGAACTGAATGAAATCTAATGCCCAGTATTCATATTAATTAAAATCAAAATCCTTCCAACAGCAATCTTTACAGAGCTAAAGACTGGCCACCCTATGAAATAAAGCTGTAATCATCAAACTGCAAAGAATGATCAAAGTGCAAAAAGAAAATCCATAAAGATAATTCAGACAACTGAAAAAGTGTTAAACACTCAGGATAACTACCACATAGTATTTTTACATTAATCCAGTATAAAATACTATAAATTTGCTGTAAAATACTTTTTACTCATCTCTAAGTCCTCCAAATGAAAGTACTGCCAGAATTAGTTTGATATGATACCTCCAAACAGATAAATGTGTTTCCAAAAACTTCAAGGAGAGAATGACCTAGTGTTGATACTAAGCTGCCTGTCAGTTAACCGCTTACTTAAAAAACTCTTCATAAATAACCGTTACCCAGGCAGCAAACTCGATTATTAAGTGTGACAATGCACTATATCAGTCCGCATCATTAATTATTTGCACTCCTTAAAAGAAAATGCAATGATTGTTAAAACATCTGGCATAAGAGAATATTTAGGATAATTCCTTCAACTTCGAACTGCTGCCAAACAAAAACTCATAAATACAGCATTTTCTTAATTACCAAACTGGTTGTACCTTGGTGAAGGAGAGTGGCAAGAATCTCAGTTTTGACTTTTCCACGTCGTTTCCATTCGTGTAAACAGCTTCCAATTCCGACATCCAGGAGATCCTGCTAGGCCCATCCAGGGAAATTCACCTGGATGTCCCTGTTCGCTGAGCTCCAATCAGTTCATAATTTATCCTACCTTTACAATGTATACAACATCTCAACAATCGCTCTTGCCATAAGGTTGAGTGTGTCGCCTGTCTTCCTCAGAGTCACAATGTGACTCAGGAAGCTGAAGGACACGTGACTGTTACATTAAAAATGCAGTGTCTCAATTTTTCCAAGATAACAATAGGAACAGTGGAGTTGGAATTCCTAAGATTTAAGCTCTAGGTTGCCCCCTCTTTGCTGCTTTGCATGACTTCAGGAAAGCCAGTCATAACTGTCTTATGTAAATGATACCCCCAAAACTGTGCAGTACACAGCACAGCAGTCACAGCCCACAGTCCTGTACCTCAACCTACCATCTGATTCTCCAGGATTACCTAAGGAAACGCAACATAATTTCAAAAGTCACAACTTACTAAATGATGTGAACAAGAGATTCTAAATTATAGATTCAAATTAATTTACTTTGGTGTTTGGTTAGCATACGATTCAGAACAGACAAAAAACAGACTACTGGTGTTTTAAAATTTTTAGACAATGGTCAAGGTAGTCAATTAGCAAACAGATTAGGAAAATATGAACAAAGCACACCCAATCTATAGAAGCCCAACAGGGAGACTGCCCATGAAGACATTTATCTTGCCACTTCTACAATGGGGTTCTATCTTCAAAGAGAATTTCATTCACCTGCCTTCTCCCTTTCCATAAAAGGCAAAGTATTGGGGTCATTACATAAAAACTCGTTCAGTAAGTGGAATTAAGTTCTATATTAAAAGCTCCATCATGACCTTGATTAACAGATTAGAACAAGATATAAGAATGCATAAACAATTTTACAAGTATTAATAAGCCTTTCTTTAAAATACTATTAAATGTAAAACTGACATATAACTAGAATCGGCCTTAGAATAACTCCATAGTCTGTTTCTCTCATGCATTTAACTAATGAGCTTCATTGAAATCCTCTTCCTTTAATACAAGGAACTACAGAAAAGGAATTCAACAGATATTAAAACAGTAAAAAGCATTTCTAAAGACTATTTAAGACTCATATTTAATATATTATACGGATAAGACTTTCATTATCGTAAGCTGAACACCTATAAAGTGCTTTAAAACCAATGATTCTTGTTACAGCATTTATATAAGTTGGTTAGCTATAGGTTTAATTAACCAATATGATTTTTCTTGAAATATTCTTTGTATATCAGCAATATGCTGTCTTCATGTGTAGAAACAGAAAATTAGGGAGAAAACATAGTCACACATAAAACTTTAGAAAACCAAAACTTCCCCCTCTTCAGTGTAGCAATAAACAATACTGTCTTGACCTATTAAATGCCATGTTGTTTACAAAATGTTCCTGATCATCTTTTAAAAGTCTTTCAGATAATGAGAATTCACCACTTACGAACCACTCAGATATCTTTCTTCCACTATGAAATCTCAAGACTGCCTCTGTAGTACACAGCACCAGACATCATAATTCGGGGAAAGCAGAATTGTAACACATGTAATAAATTACAGACCCTTATACACATGACAGCTAGATCAGACAAATTTCTAACAAACTTTTTAAAACCTGGGGGATTAAGTTTTTCAAAAGACATTCTTTTCAATGCAAGTGACAACTTAGGATAGAAAGATGTGCAACAAGGATACCCAGTTTATCATGCACTGAAACCAGGGAAAGCAAGTGAAACTACTGCTTTATGAGGAACAACTCTTAGAAAACTGTAATGAAAGATAGAACGTGTTGTGTCAGACACTGCCAGCTCAAGTGCAGTGGCTACATAGTAGAGCAAGGTGCCTATTCCTGAGGAGAACGTACTCGGTAAGAATGCTGAACAGTGAGGACTGAATCTGAGCAGTGCTAAAAAGGCAATGAGGGGAGTTCAGGTAACGTGTTACAGAGAATGGACTTGGGAGAAATTCCATTATGCAAAAATACACTTGTCCCTAGCATTAACTTTTTTTTCCCTAATGTGCTAAGTGCACTAGAAACCTCAGAACAGGTTTTTAAATTGGTCATGTCTTGTTAATAGACTGCAGTCTTCAAATTTTACACAGAACTGCAGGTCTCCTGGATTTGTTCAAGTGTCACTCATCTAACTGTGCCTGACAGCTGAGAAATGCCACCAGGTGCTTTACAGTCAGTTTAAAAAACATCCTCTACCTGGTATCTCTGCAGTGATTGTCTTGCTGCTCCCTGAAACCTCTTCATCATCGTCTGATGAGCTCGTGCTTGAGTCACAAGTCAGGTCACTATCACTGGTGCTACTGTCCTGCAGCAGGTTGTATTTCTTCCTCGCTGCAGCCTCCCTTTTCTGCCTCAGTAGCCTGATCCTCTCCTTGTGCTTCTGGCTCCGATGACCTTTAACCTTGGTGACTCGGCCATTCTGTTTATCACTGGATTGCCGATTCTTCTTGGCAGCCATGGTAGATGTTTCACTTTCAGATCGGGAACGCCTAGACTTGCGCCCAATGGTGGCACCAGACACTCCTGAAGGGTCTCCTTCTACTGTTGTTTCTGCCTGAGAGGGTTCATTCTCTTCTGCAGAAGACAACGTGTCTGAATCAGCCAGGTGACCACTAGAGGAAGGGGAAAGCATGCAGTGATTAGAGGAGTCACTCTCGTAAACTCGGCCAGCCGTCGGCTTGTCACTCTCCGTGGATGCCAGCTGAGACTCTGAAGAGTCCCTTCTTAGTTCCATCAGCAAGCAGGGCATTGAAGAAAGGACTGCAGAATCCGCTACACCCTCTTTCTGAACTTGAGATTCCAGTTCTACAGATCCATCTTCCTCCTTGGTTGTCTCTTGTTCAGACGCTTTTGGTGGGACTTCAGACTCAATGAGTTCTTCGACTTTTCCCACTGCCTCCTCCATCTTCATTTCAGAATTTCAAGTTAAATCATGGAGCAGAGTCTAGGAAATGATATCAAAGATGCAACAGGAAAGAAACCTGTACAAAAACACATAAAATCAATAAACAGAAATGGCAGATTATTTCATCACACAACATGCCTACCTTATTAAGTGGATGGCCAAAGTTACCACTACACAGGCCATTAAAATACATTTATCTATCTATTATCTGCTTGCTTCATCAACAAATTCAAAGGCCTTAATAACATCCAAATCCTAGTATATTCAGCTACTAAAAATGGTATAATCGTAATCCTCTATTATTGAACTTGCAAAGCCAGTAAGTAACCAAACAAGAATTTTCAGGCTTACAACTTACTTAAAGTGTTCAAGAAAAGGATCTTAAAAACTCTTATATAGTTAATATGCATATTTGACTTTAATATAAAAGAATACTTTTTAAAAACTAGTCTAGAAAACAATGAGTTAACTGGAATTACTTTTACACTCAAATTCTCAAATGTACAGTTATGTTTTAAAAAAAGAGTTCAACTACAAGCATGTGGCAAATGAGTAACCAAAGTACTTCCACACATCAAACCTAGCTGCACTGCCCTCAACAGGCACACCCCAGCGAAACAGGAAGATGAGGGGCAGATGTGTGATGTCCTCAGGCTCTCCCAAGGCCACACACCCATTATGTTGCATGTGAGTCTAGTGTTTACACAGATGTCTTGGATCAAAAACAGTGATTACTAAACATAATTCAACTACTCCAAAAAACCCAGAAAACCTTGTTACTCTCCTCTATGAAAGACTGAAGGAGTTTAAGAGAAAACACTCTACACACATTTTACACCTTCTATGCTAAATTTTGAACCTAACAACCTGCCATCACCAAGTGACACAACTCCAGTTAATCACAGAGGTACAGGATATAATCTCCAACCACAGAAGCTGTGACCTGTACAATAAGCCCTCACTTAACAGTGTCAACAGGTCCTTGGAAGCTGCCTACTTTAAGAGAAATGACATTTAACAAAACCAATTTTTGTCTCATTCACTTTATGACAAAACAACATTCTACACCTAATTTCACTTACAGTCACAATTCCCAAGAACCTGTCGACAGCATTAAGTGAGGACTCACTATGCAGCACACACCTCATCAACTAGAGGTTTGTAAGAAGATGCTAAGAATGTGCAAGGCAAACAACTCACCCTGCACATGGGACATTACAGGAGCCTCTCAGGACATCCCCCAGGCCAAATAGACAAGCCATACAGGACACAGTCAGGCACAGCATGGCATCCCCATCATTTCACTCCATGGGGTACATGATGGCTCAATCTACGGTGGACAGATGCTAGAAAATACCAGAATCCTTCAATTGATCTGGCATGCCAAGTCCACTCTGCTTAATAAAAACACAAATATTCTACACACATTTTTTGTTTTTCATATCCCTGTTCTCAGTTGCTGATAAAACAAACATTCTAATAAAGTTTTCTTAACACATTCATGAAAGCCAGAACATTCATGGCCACTGGAATATGTATTAACTTAAAACAACCTTGTGTGTAGCCTATTTCACAAGCATATCTCTTTCAGTACTAAGTCTGGAGTTAACTGAAAAAAACATAAATAATTTTCCTAACACCATTACAAAAATAATAATAATAATAATAAGTAACACCTCTGAAAGCTGACGGAGGGGAGTATAAGTTAATCAACAAACTGAGACTGCCCCTGATGAAGCATGTTGTCAACACAAACATGAAACAAAATATTCACAGATATAAGATACCCCCAGAGCCGGGCTCGGTGGCTCAGCCTGTAAACCCGCGCCTTTGGGAGGCTGAGGTGAGTG